GGCTCTCCGCCTGTCTTCAAGGCGCGTTACGTGGCTCGTGGCTTCAGTCAGCGACAGGGAGTCGACTACTTTCAGACCTTCTCCCCCACCCCGAAGATGACCACTCTTCGGGTACTGCTGCACGTTGCTGCTCACCGTGACTACGAGCTGCACTCTCTTGACTTCAGCACAGCTTTCTTGCAGGGCAGCCTGCACGAGGAGATCTGGCTGCGTCGCCCACCTGGCTTCACTGGGTCTTTCCCTCCTGGTACCCAGTGGAGTCTCCGGCGTCCAGTCTACGGTCTCCGCCAGGCGCCACGTGAGTGGCATGACACACTGAGGACTACGCTTGCGGCTCTTGGGTTTGCTCCTTCTACTGCCGACCCGTCGCTGTTTCTGCGCACCGACACCTCTCTGCCGCCGTTCTACATCCTCGTGTACGTCGACGACTTGGTCTTTGCCACAGCTGAGACTACTGGACTCGCCTACGTGAAGTTCGAACTGCAGAAGAGACACACGTGCACAGACCTAGGTGAACTGCGCAGCTACCTTGGCTTGCAGATCACCCGGGACAGAGCACGCCGCACCATTACCCTGACTCAGTCACACATGGTGCAGCAGGTCCTTCAGCGCTTCGGCTTCACGTACTCCTCGCCTCAGGCCACTCCTCTGTCTACTCGCCACTCGCTCTGAGCTCTGCCTTCGGATGAGTCCGTAGAGTCGAGTGGCCCGTACCCAGAGCTTGTTGGCTGCCTCATGTATCTGATGACCTGCACACGACCTGACATTGCATACCCTCTTAGCATTCTTGTACGCTATGTTGCTCCTGGGAGACACCGACCAGAGCACATGGCTGCAGCGAAGAGGGTGTTGCGCTACCTGTGCAGTACGTCGGGCATGGGGCTAGTGCTTGGAGGGCGGAGTCCAGTGGTCCTCACTGGGCACGCGGACGCGTCTTGGGCTGACGACCAGGCTACGCAGCGGTCGTCACAGGGTTACACCTTCAGCCTTGGTTCCGGCTCTGTTTCGTGGCGGGCTACTCGCTCGTCTTCTGTTCTTGGCTCTAGTTGTGAGGCTGAGATCTACGCCGGGGCCATGGCTGCACAGGAGCTTCGCTGGCTCACCTACCTGCTGACCGACCTCGGAGAGCCGCCTCGTTCTCCTCCAGTCCTGTACGTAGACAACAAGGCCATGCTGGCCTTGTGTCGAGAGCAGCGACTGGAGCACATAACAAAGCACATTGCTCTCCGCTACTTCCTTGCTCGTGAGCTACAGCAGCGTGGTCAGTTGCAGCTTGCGTACGTGGCCTCTGAGGCCAACACTGCTGATGTCTTCACCAAGGCACTTCCGCCTTGTGATCATCAGCGCTTCTGCACTCAGCTGGGTCTTGTGCCCGTCTTGCCTCACTTGCTCTCCTCTTGACCTTGCTTGTACTCTCACATATATATATATATATATACCTGCTCTTGCTTGCCTAGCTTTATATATATGTGTGTACTCTTGCATGTGAACTGGCCGTGTGGCCGTGACCCTGTGCTCGGACTGTGTGGTGACTTTGTGATCCACCCTGAGCTTGCTTTGGTTTGCTTTGCTTGACTGGTCTTGTGACCCCTTGTTCTCCCCCACTTTGCCTATGGGGGTGTGTTAGAACATTATAGCTTATGCTGTTGTGTAGGCTATAGTGGGGTATCCCATAGGGGGTACAACCTATTAGGGTTTCATATTTGTACTCACTTCGTTTCATAGTTCACCATTCTCTTGTTCTAATCTTCTCACAGCGCACAGTTCCGACTGACCCAATCCGAACTGGACGAACGGAGGAAGCAGCTCGACTACCTGCTTGAGAAAGAGTTCATTCGCCCTAGTTCGTCTCCTTTCGCAGCACCGATACTGTTCTCACCGAAAAAGGACGGGGGATCTCGCATGTGCATAGATTACAGAGCACTGAACAGGGTTACCATCAAATCCCGTTACCCCATCCCGCGAGCCGACGAACTGATCGACCAGCTGCGCACAGCCCGGGTTTTCTCGAAAATTGACCTTCGTGGAGGTTACCACCAGATTCGCGTCAACCCACCCGACTGCCCTAAGACAGCCTTCTGAACACGCTACGGATCCTTCGAATACACTGCCATGCCTTTCGGACTGACTAATGCCCCCGCCACCTTTCGAATGAACATGAACGAAGCCTTCCGCCCACTTTTAGATAAGTGCGTTATCGTGTATCTGGACGACATACTGATTTACAGCCCTGACAGAGCACAACAATTACAGGACATCGAAGTAGATTTTATAGTGAGAACCGCCTACTGACAAAAGCGTCTAAGTGTGAGTTTTTACAGGACCGACTGGAATTTTCGGGACACATCATTTCAGCTGCAGGAGTGGAAATAGACCCGAAGAAGATCGCGACGATTCAAGCATGGCACGCGCCAACCAACTTGACCGAGTTGTAGAGTTTTTTGGGGTTCGTCAACTACGTGCGCCGGTTCGTCCTCGCCATGGCGAAGCTGACAGCCCCGTTGACCGACTTGCTGAGGAAGGGGGCTGAGTACTCGTGGGGGGAGAAAGAGCAAGCTGCCTTCTCGGCCCTCAAAAATATTATGTGCTCACCGCCCGTGCTTCACATCGCAGATCCGCACCGTCCGTTCGAACTGGTCACCGACGCTAGCGACATTGCTGTGGGAGTAGTTATGCTACAGGACTTCGTGAACGGCCTTCAGCCAATCGCGTACGAGTCCCGCAAGCTTCACCCGCCCGAACGCAACTACCCGATACATGACCGCGAGATGTTGGCGATCGTGCACGCGTTCAAGGTGTGGCGATGTTACCTCAAGGGAGCAGACGTGACAGTACGGATAGACCACCGATCCCTACAGTACCTTCGCGCCCAACCGAATCTCAACCCACGACAGATCCGCTGGTTCGACTATCTGGAGTCCAACTTCCACTACACAGTCAAGTACAAAAAAGGCGCATTCAACATCGCCGACGCACTCACACGCCCCACCGCCCAACTCCACGCCATCCTACTCGCCCAAACCAACCCTCTGTTAACAGGCCTATTCACCCACGGATACAGTACCGACCCATTTTTCACGACCGGAAATTCACAGCAACTGGCAGAGGCCAAAGGCGTCTATTATGTAAAGACAGGCACCAACCGCATCTGGGTACCCGCGTACTCACTACTGAGGGAACTGTTACTGCAGGAGGCACACGACGGGATTACCTCGGGACATTTTGGGGTAGAAAAAATGCGACAGCAACTGCAGCGGTATTACTACTGGCCGGAACTGTTGACCGACGTACAGTTCACGTGGGCTCGTGTCCTACGTGTCAGGTGATGAAGAGCTCGCGAAAAAGAAAGGCGGGTCAGTTGCAGCCGATTCCACCGCCTGAGCGCGCCTGACAACAGGTTACCATGGATTTCGTCATGGGGTTACCTTCGAACCCTGGGGGTAACGACACGGTTATGGTCGTCGTTTACAGATTGACGAAGATGGCACACATCGCTGCGTGCAAGAAATTGATCTCAGCCGAAGAAACCGCTCGCCTGTTCATCGCAACCGTCGTTCGACTGCACGGGATACCAGCCGCGATAATCAGCGACCGCGACACGAAGTTCACCAGCAACTTATGGAAAAACCTCTTGGAGCAGTTCGGGACCAGGCTACAGTTCAGCTCGTCGTACCACCCCGAGACCGACGGTCAAACGGAGCGGACGAATCAGACGATGGAGCAGTTGATTCGTGCCACGTGCGACGACCCTACCACTTGGGAGCAGCAGCTGCCGCGGATTGAGTTCGCGTATAACAACGCCACGTTAGCGACGACGCAACAGTCCCCCTTCTACCTGAACTACGGGCAAAATCCTACAGTGCCCATGACGCCGAGTCCAGACAACCCAACGCCACGTGCACAACAATTCGGCGAAATTTTTGCAAGCTGCCTGCACCAGAGCCGCAGAAGCAATTAAAAAGGCCAATGTCATCGCTAAGCACAACGCTGACCGCCACCGCCGCCAAGTCACGTACCAGTCATGAGACTACGTACTGCTCGACACACAAAACTTAAGACTGTCCGTCGTACCGAAATTGCGACCCCGCTACTGTGGACCATTCCAAATCAGCCACATGATTACCCCAGTGACAGCCCACCTAATGTTGCCGACGGACTGGTACATCGGCCCTTCATTCCACGTCAGCCTGCTTCGCCCATATATCCCAACCACAAGCCAACTGCCTCGTCACTGCTCGCCATCCATGACTCGCCCTGCATCGGAGCCGATCATCGAACCCGAAAAAATCCTGAGCCATCGGATTCGACACCCCACGGGAATCGGGAGGATTGAATTCCTCGTTCGCTGGAAGGATCGCATGCCAATTGAAGATAGCTGGGTGCCCCTGGCCAACATCGAAAACCACCCTACCCTGCAAGTGTACCTGAGGAGTCGGGGTTTCCGCGATATACACGCACTCGCGTAGCGGAGGGGGCTTCTTGAGGGGGGGGGGTAGTGTAGGGAATTTTCTCGATATTCCTTAGCGCACCCTGCAACATCGCGTACAGCAGCAGCCGTTGTTCGCCCGTTACTGCTAACGGGGCTTCGCCGACTTCGCGCGCACTGCTTCACCAAACCTCACACTGCTGGCCCGGCCGTGTCGGCCTACGCTTCGGGACTAGCCCGAGCCTCGCTGCCAGCATAGCACTAGCTAGCTCGCACGCACCGCGTTACCGTTTGCATGTTTCGCGAATAAATGTTCGCTCATGCCTTCGGTCACATTTTGTACTCGTTTGACACCTTAGTCCATTTCTCACTACTTCGATTCATTGCATCCGTAACAGGGAGTTATTCCTTACACTAGAGGGAAAACAACTTTCCTCATGATGTGACGGTTCCGCATTGGTGTCGTTTCACCCAATTACGATATGTATATAGTTAAACAGGTACCACCCAGCCAAGATGTCCAGCAGGAGGGGGGATCCCAAGAAAACAGGGAGAGAATAACACACGCCAGAATTTAACGGAAATCAAAGGCCTCGGGAGGTGCAGGCTCGTCATCCTCTTCATCATCGTCAGCAGGTGGCGGCGGGGGGGGGGGAGCACCCCCCCCTCTCCCCCTCCCCCCTGCCCCTCCTCCCCCTCCGCTCCTCCTAAACGCTCCCACAGGAGCAGCAGCAGCAGCAGCAGCTGGGGCAGCAGCAGCGGCAGTCCGGGCAGCACCGGAATTCCCGGCCGCAGCAGCATTCGGCCCGTCGGTGAGCGCGAATTCTTCGGGCTGCCCGGGCTGGCAATCCTTGAGGAGCAAAAACCCCGAGGTTGGCTTCCTGATTGGTGCATAGCGGCAGGTGTCCGGGAACTTGATGTATTTTTCTTGGGCGGGCAGCACTCGGGCAGGATTGTGAAGGATTTCAGACGTTGGCTCAGCCGGTTTCTTGGCTTCAGCAGCAGCACTGGGAGTGGTCTCGGTCCCCTCAACCTGCAAAGATGGAAGGAAGGAATTGGAGGTATGACAAGAGAGGGGTCGGAGAGAGGGTGGGCGAGAGGAGTGGAGAGGGGTGAAGAAGGGTGGAACAGGTTAGAAATTGGTGGAAACCAGACAGCGAAACGGGTTGCGCATCACTACTTGGTCAAATAAAAGCCTCGATATTACGGGCTATGCATCGAGATATAGAGTGTGAGGGCGAGGAAAGCAAGAGCACGAATGCATGCAAGCGAAAGAAAGCCACGAGCGGGCGGGGAAGGGGGGGTGGGAGTGGCGGGCGGAACGGGTAACATATGTACAAGAACAGTTAGAAATCGTGGGGAAATGTGGAAGGGCAGGTGCAGACGATAAAAACTCACCTCCATAGCATCTCCTTCCTTCTTCTCCTCTCCCTTCTTCCCTCCATCCTCCTCTCCCCCCTTCACCCCATCCATCGCCCCACCCTCCCCGGCCTTCCCCTCTCCCCCATCCTTCTTCTCCTCCTCCTTCTCCTTCTTCTCCTCCTTCTCCTTTGCCCTCCCCTTCGCCCTCGCAGCAGTCGACAGCACCGCAACCGGAGCCTTCACGGCAGTGCTGCTACTCGCCACAACAGCGGGCGGCGGGTACGCAAACAACCCCGGGCGGCACTCCGAAACGAAATCAAATTTCGGCGCTTTGAGATCCCCCTGAAGCCCGACGAGTGCCGTTGCAGAGAAGGAGAGAGAGAGGAAGTGCAGCAGCGGGAACCAGTACCAGTACTGCGTGAAAAGAGCCATGCCGATGACGGCGGTTACGCGGTCGTAGCCCGAGCGGGAGCGCAGCGAGATGGTGACGTTGCGGCCGCCTGCGTCGAGGATTCCGGAAGCGAGAATGGCGCCCATCTTGCACATGGTGTCCTCGTGCTTGTCGTGAATCGCCTTCTCAAGTTGGCGCCTGGAGAGCACAGGGGGTGACAGTGTATGGTAGTGGGGGACAGCGGGGAAGTGAGTGGGAGAGACAGAATGGCGCCCATCTTGCACATGGTGTCCTCATGCTTGTCGTGAATGGCCTTTTCAAGCTGACGCCTGGGAGGAGACAGATGGGGAAGACGGGGGTAACAGCGCATGGAGCAGGGAACAGCGGGGAAGTGAGTGGGGGACAGCGAGAATGGCGCCCATCTTGCACATGGTGTCCTCGTGCTTGTCGTGAATGGCCTTCGCGAGCTGACGCCTGGAAGGGGAGGAGGTAGAAGGAGAGAGTGTTTTTGAGACGTCTCAAAAACAACCTCGCTTCACGGGGAGGAGGTAGAAGGAGAGAGTGTTTCTGAGACGTCTCACCGCCTGAGCGCGCCTGGCACCTCCTCTCTCCCCCTCTCTCTAGAAAGCTCACCCCTCAGCTGAAGGTCCACCCGTCACCTGAAGGTCCAGCCGTCACCTGAAGGTCCAGCCGTCACCTGAAGGTCCAGCCGTCACCTGAAGGTCCAGCCGTCACCTGAAGGTCCAGCCGTCACCTGAAGGTCCAGCCGTCACCTGAAGGTCCAGCCGTCACCTGAAGGTCCAGCCGTCACCTGAAGGTCCAGCCGTCACCTGAAGGTCCAGGCGTCACCTGAAGGTCCAGCCGTCACCTGAAGGTCCACCCGTCACCTGAAGGTAAAGCCGTCACCTGAAGGTCCACCCGTCACCTGAAGGTCCAGGCGTCACCTGAAGGTCCAGCCGTCACCTGAAGGTCCACCCGTCACCTGAAGGTCCACCCGTCACCTGAAGGTCCACCCGTCACCTGAAGGTCCAGGCGTCACCTGAAGGTCCAGCCGTCACCTGAAGGTCCAGCCGTCACCTGAAGGTCCAGCCGTCACCTGAAGGTCCACCCGTCACCTGAAGGTCCAGCCGTCACCTGAAGGTCCACCCGTCACCTGAAGGTCCAGCCGTCACCTGAAGGTCCAGCCGTCACCTGAAGGTCCAGCCGTCACCTGAAGGTCCGCCCGTCACCTGAAGGTCCACCCGTCACCTGAAGGTCCACCCGTCACCTGAAGGTCCAGCCGTCACCTGAAGGTCCAGCCGTCACCTGAAGGTCCAGGCGTCACCTGAAGGTCCAGCCGTCACCTGAAGGTCCAGCCGTCACCTGAAGGTCCAGCCGTCACCTGAAGGTCCACCCGTCACCTGAAGGTCCACCCGTCACCTGAAGGTCCAGCCGTCACCTGAAGGTCCAGCCGTCACCTGAAGGTCCACCCGTCACCTGAAGGTCCAGGCGTCACCTGAAGGTCCAGCCGTCACCTGAAGGTCCACCCGTCACCTGAAGGTCCACCCGTCACCTGAAGGTCCACCCGTCACCTGAAGGTCCAGGCGTCACCTGAAGGTCCAGCCGTCACCTGAAGGTCCACCCGTCACCTGAAGGTCCACCCGTCACCTGAAGGTCCACCCGTCACCTGAAGGTCCAGGCGTCACCTGAAGGTCCAGCCGTCACCTGAAGGTCCAGCCGTCACCTGAAGGTCCAGCCGTCACCTGAAGGTCCAGCCGTCACCTGAAGGTCCACCCGTCACCTGAAGGTCCACCCGTCACCTGAAGGTCCACCCGTCACCTGAAGGTCCAGCCGTCACCTGAAGGTCCAGCCGTCACCTGAAGGTCCAGCCGTCACCTGAAGGTCCAGGCGTCACCTGAAGGTCCAGCCGTCACCTGAAGGTCCAGCCGTCACCTGAAGGTCCAGCCGTCACCTGAAGGTCCAGCCGTCACCTGAAGGTCCACCCGTCACCTGAAGGTCCACCCGTCACCTGAAGGTCCAGCCGTCACCTGAAGGTCCAGCCGTCACCTGAAGGTCCAGCCGTCACCTGAAGGTCCACCCGTCACCTGAAGGTCCACCCGTCACCTGAAGGTCCAGCCGTCACCTGAAGGTCCAGCCGTCACCTGAAGGTCCAGCCGTCACCTGAAGGTCCAGCCGTCACCTGAAGGTCCACCCGTCACCTGAAGGTCCAGCCGTTACCTGAAGGTCCAGCCGTCACCTGAAGGTCCAGCCGTCACCTGAAGGTCCAGCCGTCACCTGAAGGTCCACCCGTCACCTGAAGGTCCAGCCGTCACCTGAAGGTCCGCCCGTCACCTGAAGGTCCAGCCGTCACCTGAAGGTCCACCCGTCACCTGAAGGTCCAGCCGTCACCTGAAGGTCCACCCGTCACCTGAAGGTCCAGGCGTCACCTGAAGGTCCAGCCGTCACCTGAAGGTCCAGCCGTCACCTGAAGGTCCACCCGTCACCTGAAGGTCCAGCCGTCACCTGAAGGTCCAGCCGTCACCTGAAGGTCCACCCGTCACCTGAAGGTCCAGCCGTCACCTGAAGGTCCAGCCGTCACCTGAAGGTCCAGGCGTCACCTGAAGGTCCAGGCGTCACCTGAAGGTCCAGCCGTCACCTGAAGGTCCACCCGTCACCTGAAGGTCCACCCGTCACCTGAAGGTCCAGCCGTCACCTGAAGGTCCACCCGTCACCTGAAGGTCCACCCGTCACCTGAAGGTCCACCCGTCACCTGAAGGTCCAGCCGTCACCTGAAGGTCCAGCCGTCACCTGAAGGTCCAGCCGTCACCTGAAGGTCCACCCGTCACCTGAAGGGCACGACGCGGGGCTCTCGCTCCTGGGAGCACTGCATAAGAACCATTGCCGTAGCCATCACCGCCCCCTGCCGCACAAAGTCCACCCCGTCCGATGTGAGCGGCTCCAGCAGGTCCAGGGCGCTCCGCTGGGCCGTGCCGGCGCATGCAATGCCGACCGCCATGGCTGCCCCGTAGCGCACGTGGGGATTGAAGGACTCCGCGAGTAAAGAGACCATTCGGGGGACCTGCAAAGCAAGTGGTGGAGGGCGGTGCAAAGGAGAGAGAGGGGTTGAAAATGGTACAACACAGGTCAAACGGGGTGCGGGAGTGGCTCCAGCAGGTTGAGGGCGCTGCGCTGCGCCGTGCCGGCGCATGCAATGCCGACTGCCATGGCTGCCCCGTAGCGCACGTGGGGGTTGAAGGACTCGGCTAGGAGAGAGACCATTCGGGGGACCTGAGAAGGAGGGAGAGAGGTGGAGCGCGGTACAAGGGTTAGGATGAGCCGTGCCGGCGCAGGCTATGCCGACCGCCATGGCTGCCCCGTAGCGCACGTGGGGATTGAATGACTTGGCTAGGAGAGAGACCATGCGAGGGGCCTACAAAGAAAGAAGGAGAGAGAGGGGTGGAAAGCGGTACAAGAGTCAAACGGGGTGACCGGCGCATGCGATGCCGGCTGCCATGGCTGCCCCGTAGCGCACGTGGGGGTTGAAGGACTCGGCTAGGAGGGACACCATGCGGGGTACCTGCAAGGGGGGGAGGGAGAGCGGCAAAGAGTGGTGTAAGGGGAGAGGGAGTGGTGAGGCACGGTACACAGGAAGAGTGAGCGGTGCAGGGTGATGCAAGGGCAGAGTGAGGAAGAGGCTCCAGCAGGTCCAGCGCGCTTCGCTGCGCCGTGCCGGTGCAGGCTATGCCGACTGCCATGGCTGCCGCGTAGCGTAGCACAGCGCAGCATAGCAGAGAGAGTGGGAGGGACAGAATATAGCGTGCTTCACGCACTGCTTCTCTCTCACCTGATCCGGCTCCGCACAGAGAACAAAGCCCAGGCACAGCACAGCAGCGAGAGAGCGACACACAAACAGCAACCTCCCTCACCATAACCTTTCTCTCCCTTGCTCTCACTTGATCTGGCTCAGCACAGAGAACAAAGCCCAGGCACAGCACGGCGGCGCGCCTGACGTCATCGCTGACGTCACTGACGGCAAAGTGCAGAAGCTGCCGAATGGCGCCGTTGTTGGCGGTGCCGCGGTAGGCCATGGCGATGGCGTACATGCCGCCGTAGCGCAGGATCGGGTCGGCGTCCGTCGTCATTTGCTGGATGAGAATATCGGCCTCTTCCTCCCGGCCGTAAACGACCAGGGAAATCCCCACCGCCAGGCCTCTGGTGGATTCTCAGCAGAAAAATCCGGAGGAAGGGGAGCAGATAGGAGAAAGGGAGGGGAAGGTTGAGGAAGGAAAGCTGGCGAATGGCGCCGTTGTTGGCGGTGCACAGTTTTGTGGGCATAAGCCAGCATCTCCGCTGCTACCTGCGTGTGTGTATCGTTCTCCTGTGATTGCGTATGTGCACCCTCACAACCATTCCCCTTTTGAGACGTCTCAAATGTGTATCGTTCTCCTGTGTTTGCGTATGTGCACCCTCACAACCATTCCCCCACCTGATAATCTTTTCATGCTGCGTGTCATGGGCATAAGCCAGCATCTCCGCCACCCGCTCGCTGTGTGTGTGTGAGTGCGTGTGTGTGTGTGTGTGTGTGTGTGTTTGGTGCGGATAGTCCCCTAACCCCCTAGTCAACCTGTCCCCACCTGATGATCTTCTCGTGCTGCGTGTCATGGGCATAAGCCAGCATCTCCGCCCGCCGCTACTGGATGAAATAGAACTGCCCACCGTATGTGCACCCTCACAACCATCCCCCCACCTGATGATCTTCTCGTGCTGCGTGTCATGGGCATAAGCCAGCATCTCCGCCCGCCGCTACTGGATGAAAGAGAACTGCCCACCGTATGTGCACCCTCACAACCATCCCCCCACCTGATGATCTTCTCGTGCTGCGTGTCATGGGCATAAGCCAGCATCTCCGCCCGCCGCTACTGGATGAAAGAGAACTGCCCACCGTATGTGCACCCTCACAACCATCCCCCCACCTGATGATCTTCTCGTGCTGCGTGTCATGGGCATAAGCCAGCATCTCCGCCCGCCGCTACTGGATGAAAGAGAACTGCCCACCGTATGTGCACCCTCACAACCATCCCCCCACCTGATGATCTTCTCATGCTGCGTGTCATGGGCATAAGCCAGCATCTCCGCCCGCCGCTACTGGATGAAAGAGAACTGCCCACCGTATGTGCACCCTCACAACCATCCCCCCACCTGATGATCTTCTCGTGCTGCGTGTCATGGGCATAAGCCAGCATCTCCGCCCGCCGCTACTGGATGAAAGAGAACTGCCCACCGTATGTGCACCCTCACAACCATCCCCCCAACTGATGATCTTCTCGTGCTGCGTGTCATGGGCATAAGCCAGCATCTCCGCCCGCCGCTTCTGGATGAAAGAGAACTGCCCACCATATGTGCACCCTCACAACCATCCCCCCACCTGATGATCTTCTCGTGCTGAGTGTCATGGGCATAAGCCAGCATCTCCGCCGCCACAACTGGATGAAAAGAGTACCGGACACAGTGTCTGTGTGTGCCTGTATGCTTATCCCCTAACCCCCTCGTCACCCTGCCCTCACCTGATGATCTTCTCATGCTGCGTGTCATGGGCATAAGCCAGCATCTCATACATGTGTGCGAGAATCATTATACATGTGACCTCACAACCACCCCCCCACCTGATGATCTTGTCGTGCTGCGTGTCATGGGCATAAGCCAGCATCTCATACATGTGTGCGAGAATCATTATACATGTGACCTCACAACCACCCCCCCACCTGATGATCTTGTCGTGCTGCGTGTCATGGGCATAAGCCAGCATCTCATACATGTGTGCGAGAATCATTATACATGTGACCTCACAACCACCCCCCCACCTGATGATCTTGTCGTGCTGCGTGTCATGGGCATAAGCCAGCATCTCATACATGTGTGCAAGTATCACTATACATGTGACCTCACAACCACCCCCCACCTGATAATCTTCTCGTGCTGCGTGTCATGGGCATAAGCCAGCATCTCCGCCGCCCGCTCGCTCGCCGTCCCAACTAGCAGCAGCCCCATGGCAATCCCTGCTGCCTCGCCCGCAACAGCGCTGTCAGTGTAGAGAACGCTCTTCACGTCCTCATACACCTCCTCATCGCCGGTGCCCATCGCCGCCAGACCCACGCCCAGGCACGCGCCATGCTGGATTGTCTGCTCAGGGTTTGACGGGTTGAGGGGTTTTGGGTTGAAGGGAGTGAGCAGTGGGTGCAGGGTGGGGTGCCACGGCGCTGTCAGTGTAGAGCACGCTCTTCACGTCCTCATACACCTCCTCATCGCCGGTGCCCATCGCCGCCAGACCCACGCCCAGGCACGCGCCATGCTGGATTGTCTGCTCAGGGTTTGACGGGTTGAGGGGTTTTGGGTTGAAGGGAGTGAGCAGTGGGTGCAGGGTGGGGTGCCACGGCGCTGTCAGTGTAGAGCACGCTCTTCACGTCCTCATACACCTCCTCATCGCCGGTGCCCATCGCCGCCAGACCCACGCCCAGGCACGCGCCATGCTGGATTGTCTGCAGGGTTCAGGGTTTAAGGGGCAGTTAGGGGTTGCGGGGCGGGGGATAAGGGGGTGGGTGCGGGGTGGGGGATAAGGGGGTGGGTGCGGGGTGGGGTGGCACGGCGCTGTCAGTGTAGAGCATGCTCCTCACGTCCTCATACACCTCCTTGTCGCCCGTGCCCATCGCCGCCAGACCCACTCCCAGGCATGCGCCATGCTGGATCGTCTTCTCAGGGTTTTGGGATTAAGTGTTATGTATTCTAAGGGGTTGAAGGGTAATGTGGCCAAAATTAGATTGCAGTTCGGGAATGCTTGACAGACCTGCTGCACTCATCTACTTCATTGAAACCCGAAACCTTTGGTCCCTGCCCCTGAGCGCACCTTGTTGCTGGTGTTGTGGAGAGCTCTCCAGCAGGAATCTCTTTTGATACTTAAACCCTGAACCTCTCACCCCGTGTCCCCCGCCCTACACACACCTCGTTGCTGGTGTTGCGGAGGCTCTCGAGCAGAAACCCCTTGATGCTCTCCCCGTGGTTAGCATGAATGAGCCCCAGAGCATACAGCGCCCCGCCCTCCGAATACGCACTCCCACTCAGGCCCCCTGCTCCCCCGCCTGCTGCCCTCCCTGCTGCCCTGCCCCACCTGTTGTCCCACCTGCTTCCCTACCTGCTGCCCCTAGCCTCTGCCGCCCCCAAACGTTCCCCCAAAACCGAAACCCTAAACCCCGCCCTACCTCATTGCTGGTGTTGCGGAGGCTCTCGAGCAGGAACCCCTTGATGCTCTCCCCGTGGTTAGCATGAATGAGCCCCAGAGCGTACAGCGCCCCGCCCTCCGAATACGCACTCCCACTCAGCCCGCCCGCTGCCCCTGCGCTGCCCCCAGCCCCGTGGGGCAGGTAGGGGGCCATGAGGGAGCGCCCCTGCTGCAGGTGGCCCCTGTGGATCACCCCCAGCCCGGCTGTGGCGCTCAGCTTCGCCCAGTTGGTCGCCCGGCTCAACCAGTCCTGCATTGAAAGAGAGGGATGGGAGGATTAGATCGGAATAAGGGGTAGAGATGAGGGACATGAGCAAGCGCCCCTGCTGCGAGCGCCCCTGCTGCAGGTGCCCCCTGTGGATCACCCCCAGGCCGGCTGTGGCACTCAGCTTCGCCCAGTTGGTCGCTCAGCTCAGCCAGTCCTGAACAGAGGGAGTGGGGTAGGAGGTTGAGATCGGGATAGGGGGTTGGTATGAGACACATACATGAGGGAGCGCCCCTGCTGCAGGTGCCCCCTGTGATGAATCATCCCCAGCCCGGCTGTAGCGCTTAGCTTCGCATGCATGAGCATGAGTGCATGCATGAGCATGAGTGCATGCATGAGCATGAGTGCATGCATGAGCATGAGTGCATGCATGAGCAAGAGTGAATGCATGAGCATAAGTGCATGCATGAGCAAGAGTGCATGCATGAGCATAAGTGCATGCATGAGCAAGAGTGCATGCATGTGCATAAGTGCATGCATGAGCAAGAGTGCATGCATGAGCATAAGTGCATGCATGAGCAAGAGTGCATGCATGAGCATAAGTGCATGCATGAGCAAGAGTGCATGCATGAGCATAAGTGCATGCATGATCCTCAGCGCACTTACCAGGTTGTCTCTGAGGAAAGTGTCGACTGTCATGCCCGCATGGATGAATGCGTTGGCTACAGGGAGAGGCAGGCATGCATGATTATACGCATGCTCACCAGGTTGTCTCTGAGGAAGGTGTCAACTGTCGTGCCAGCGTGCATGAACGCGTTGGCTACGATGGTGGCGCTGTGGCACACGCTGTTGCGCGTCTCCACCACCTGCTTGATCGCCTTCAGCACTCCCAGGTCCGCCCTGCAAGGTAAGACGATAGAAAGAGAAACAAAGGGTGTTAAGTGGTATGGCGAATGTTGCTACACCACGATGGCAGTGCTGTGCTGTGGCACACGCTGTTCCTCGACTCCACCATCTGCTTGATCGCCTTCAGCACTCCCAGGTCCGCCCTGCAGGTAACACAAACACAGAGAGCATGACTGGCCACTCACTTGTTGTGGCTGTACAGGCAAGAACTGCAGGGTGAGGCCGATCGGTGCAATGCTGGTACGCAACCTAAGCAACACAAGCACTAACAATTTTATTCAACAACAAAGCAGTACTCACTTGTTGTGGCTATACAGGAACTGCAGGGTGAGGCCGATCGGAGTCTCCCCCGTCAGAATCCCCTTAAGCTTCGCCAGTCGCTCTGCATACACCACCTCCTCGCTCGGCGCAACTTCGGCAGCTGCCTCGCCCTCCCCCGAACCTGCAGCTTCGGCCGAACCAGAACCAGCTGCCTCGGTAGTGTCCATGGTGCTTGTCCCGTCAACCTCGGCAGCAGGTTTGGCTGCCCCATCTTCAGCAGCTGCTGTAGCCGTATCTGTCGCCTCTCCGCCCTCTGCCTTTGCTGCTCCTTCTCCCTCCTTCCCTTCCTCCGTCTCCATTGCTGCAGCCGCATCGGTTGCACCAGCAGCACTGCCTCCCTCAGCTGCTGCGGCGCCTGTTACAGCATCACCAGCAGCAGCCACCTCAGCACCCGCATCAGGGGCAGCAGCAGCAGAAGCACCATCCGCCTCCGGAGCAGCAGCAGCAACAGCGGCATCGGCATCAGCAGAAGCCGGAACAGCCGGGGCAGGCGCAAGCGGGGGCGGCGGGTCAGGCAGAGCATCCCTCACAGACAGCAGGAACTGCTGAAACTCGTTCTCAAACAGGTCAAAGGCGACCTGGTACGCTAATAAAGCGTCCGACTCGTTCTGCCCCTTGATGAGTCGGTCCAGTGTCGCCGCCACCCCTGCTGCGTCGCTGAGGAACATGAGCATCTGGCATATGCTGCCGTAGTCGGGGGTCTCTGCCTGCTGATATAGACGCACCAATGTTGACAAAACCTGGGGGAATGAACAACGGAGAGGGGCAAGGGGTAAGGAGAGGAGGGAGTCGCTGAGGAACATGAGCATCTGGCATATGCTGCCGTAGTCGGGGGTCTCTGCTTGCTGGTGCAGCCGCACCAGTGTGGACAGCACCTGGGGAGGCGCGGGGAAAGAGGGGGGGGGCGCCAAGGAAGGAGAGGGCAAGGGGGAAGGGCAAGGGGAAAGGGCAAAAGGAGCCACGGAGGAAGAGAGCATCTGACACGTGGCTTCTGACACGTGCGCAGCCTTGTATGAGCACTCTGCCTGCTGGTAAAACACATCAGCAAGTGATTGAGATGAGAACACCAAGGCATACAGGTGGCAGGATGAAGAGAGGGCGCAGGGAGGGTGATGAGGGGGCGCAGGGAGGGTGAAGAGAGGGCGAGGGAGAGGGTGATGAGAGGGCGAGGGAGAGGGTGAAGAGAGGGCGAGGGAGAGGGTGAAGAGAGGGCGAGGGAGAGGGTGATGAGAGGGTGAAGGAGAGCAAGAGAAGGCGAGGGTCGGGTGCAGTACCTGCTGCCGGAATTGTCGGCGGTTGACAAGGGAATGAGAGACCTGCACGGGAGGTAAGCAACAGCAAGGCAGGCAGGAAACGCAGCAGCAAACAGGGGGGTGAGGGATGAAATGAAAAGCAAGTGCCAAGTGTGCCTGTGTGCGGGGAAAGGGGACGGACAGGATGGAAGTTCATTTCAAAGTTGGCAAACGAGCAAGATTTTTTCAGAAGCATATGTGAATACGTTGAGAAGCAGGCGCGGTGAACACTGAGCAGCAGGTGCGGGTTAATGAGTGGGTGAGTAAATATCAGCCTACCTGCAGGCAGTAGGCGAGCAGCGAGCGCGAGTTGCCACTCCTGGCGACAGCCGCCTCCAGCTTGTCAAGTCGGCGGCACTCCAGCGAGCAGGAAAGTCAACAGAAGTCAACTCACCTGCAGGCAGTAGGCGAGCAGGGAGCGAGAGTTGCCACTCCTGGCGACGGCAGCCTCGAGCTTGTCAAGGCGAGGGCACTCCAGCGAGCAGGAAAGTCAATCAAAGTCAACGGAAGTCAACCCACCTGCAGGCAGTATGCGAGCAGCGAGCGCGAGTTGCCACGCCTGGCAACGGCAGCCTCAAGCTTGTCAAGTGAAATTCACCCTACTGAAACTAAGCCCCAGAAAGTCAATGCAATTCTTGGTTGAGTAAAAATCAACCCACCTGCAGGCAGTATGCGAGCAGCGAGCGCGAGTTGCCACGCCTGGCAACGGCAGGCTCCAGCTTGTAAACAAACTCCGCTTTAGTGAGACCACGACCCAAAAAGGTAGTGCATTTTTGGCTGAGCTCGCCCTAACGGATAAGTGAGAACTGCCTACCTACAGGCAATAGGCGAGCAGGGAGCGAGAGTTGCCACTCCTGGCAACGGCAGCCACGAGCTTGTCAAGGCGGCGGCACTCCAGCGCGCAGGGAAGTCAACAGAAGTCAACGGAAGTCAAAAGAAATCAACCCACCGGCAGGCAGTAGGCGAGCAGCGAGCGCGAGTTTGCCACTCCTGGCGACGGCAGCCTCGAGCTTGTCAAGGCGGCGGCACTCCAGCGCACAGAGAAGTCAACAGAAGTCAACGGAGGTCAACCTACCTGGAGGCAGTAGGCGAGCAGGGAGCGAGAGTTGCCACTCCTCGCAACGGCAGCCTCGAGCTTGTCAAGGCGGCGGCACTCCAGCGCCACTCCGATGGCCTGCTGGAACTGACGCTCCTCAATGCAGCTGGAATGAGGGTAGAGAGGCAAGGGGAGAGGTGAGAGGGGTGGGGAAGGTGGCGAATAAAGAGGAGTGAAAACGGTCACTGACTGCAGGTCAGTTATCCTCTCGCACATGCATGCAGCAAGGGCAGCAAGAGCAGCACTCACTTGTCGAGCATCCTCTCTACGATGGCCATGAGGCGCGGGTCAAGAGGAGTGATAACGGTCACACACACCAGGTCAGCCTTCCGCTTGAACATGCATGTGAATCATCACAACAACAAGAGCACCGCTCACTTGTCCAGCATCCTCTCTACGATGGCCACGAGGCGCGGGTCAAGAGGATAGTCGGCGTCGGGGTCATGGGAATCCACACAGCAGGTTGGCCCTCCTCTCGCACATGCACGTTAATCATCCCAGCAGCACAAGCACTCACTTGTCCAGCATCCTCTCTACGATGGCCACGAGGCGCGGGTCAAGCGGATAGTCGGCGTCGGGGTCATGGGAATCCACACAGCAGGTTGGCCCTCCTCTCGCACATGCACGTTAATCATCCCAGCAGCACAAGCACTCACTTGTCCAGCATCCTCTCTACGATGGCCACGAGGCGCGGGTCAAGAGGATAGTCGGCGTCAGGGTCATGGGAGTCGGCGCGCTTGACACTGAGATCCATGTACTCGTCAATGCACTTGGCTGCAGGGGGCATGGGGCATGGGGCATAGGGCATGGGGAGACCCAAGGATAACACATGGAGCATTGGGTCGAGTGGATAGTCGGCGTCGGGGTCATGAGAGTCGGCGCGCTTGACACTCAAATCCATGTACTTGTCAATGCACTTTGCTGTAAGGGGCACAGCGAAACAAAATAGTAGCGGGGAATGATCCACAGGGCAATGAGGGACACAGGAATAGCACAGGGGGCGAATGGTGCATGACATTCTGAAACTAAGATCCATGTACTTGTCAATGCACCCATGTACCCATGTACCCACGCACCCATGCGCCCGTTCGCCCATGCACCCACGCACGCACCAATGAGCGTCTGCACGTATTCCGAGTCCTCCGAGACGTCAAAGAGGGACCCCGCGCCAAGCGCGTACGTGAGCGAGTCGGTGAGCTCGCCCAGATAGTAAAACACCTGCACAGGTGAACCCATGCACGCATACGAGAGGAAAAGGTTGAAGTTCGTTTGCACTGCGTTGAGCACAAATATGGGAGCACTAGAGAGTCGGTGAGCTCGCCCAGATAGTAGAACACCTGCATACGCGCATGCACGAGCGGGACAAGAAAGAGCAGAGTTGAAGTTGGTTCACACAGTGTTAATTGAGCACACTGTGGGAGAGCACTTCAAAGTCGCTCCCCCAGATAGTAGTAGAACACCTGCAGAGGCGCATGCACGCGCGGGACAGAAGGAATGATGTCAGTTGATTCAGTCAGTCTTGATTCAGTCAGAGGGAGCACTCAAGAGTGGGTGGGCTGGCCCAGATCGTAGAACGGACCGACAGAAACACCAGCATTTGTGCAAGGACAAGGGGGTAGGTAATAAAGAGTCAAGCGAATTACTGAGGAGGGACACAGTAAAGACCATGCTATACGATGCGTCAGAGAGAAATAGTTCTGAGAAGCAACTGATCCATACCGTGAACATCTGATGGGCACCTGATACTGACGAATACCTCATGAAAACCTGAAGAACACCTGATGGATTCTTGAAAAGCACCTGAAGAAGGCCAGACAATAATTACCTTGGAGGCCAGAAGAGCCGCCAGCTCGCGATGGTCGAACGTCTCATCCTCGTACAAGCTCTCACTGAACAGATTCAACCGAGAATAAAGACGGGGAAAATAACGTAACAGACATGCTTACTCGTCTTCGAATGTACAAACACAACGGATAGAGGCACGTAACGCACTGGTTACACTGTTGAAGGGCGACGAGGTTAGGCGTGGAGTAAGATGTGCGAGTAACCACATCCACGATCTACAAATCTACAAACTTAGTCAATATACGAAGTGAGCATTTCGCAAAGCGACTGAGCGGCCAGAATGGTTTGTCTGAGACTCCTGAACTACCAACGACTCTTGTCTGACAACTTTGTTTGAGTCCTGACAAATTCCGTCTACCCAATATGACATCTGTCCACCTGCACCAGATTATCGAACCGACTAAATACCCAGAATGATACTAAAGTCGACCTAATGGCACGCAACAACCTATCCAATTCCGTGTGATGGAATTCAACATGTCATGGAGGCACCATAAACCGAAATTCGCCAAGTGAGGTCCACTAGCTTCCCGATCCATATAGACCAAACCAGCGAGGGAGAGGTTTTCCGACCTCCGTCTCATAATCACTAGGAAAGTCGAATTCTCGTAAAAGTAAGCTGTCCATATAAGAAAATTCACAAACATCTCTGACATAAGGATCTCACAGGCTGGAAACTGATTGAATACTACTCGCTTCGTCCTTAATCATAACGAATCTTCACGATTATGTAGGCCAGCCTACCACGAACGAAGAAAAATGGTTATGACCAAAAGCGACACGGCACAGCTGAAGCTCGAGGTCAGGCCACCCGCGATCTCGATCTGATCGGCTAGCGTTTTCGCATACGCCTTGTCACGGTCGACTGATTTAATCCCCTCAAAGGCCAAATTCTCGTACATCCACCGTCGCGGTCGTGTGGCGTGCGAAACCTAGTTGCTAGAGTGTCGACACGCTTATAATCCCAAGCTGAAACACCGGAATGTCAGACTATCAAGCCAATATTTCACGCTACGAAGACGATCGATTGGTCGCAGCTGGCGTCTAAATCGGGGATTTACATTATAGATCTATAATCTATAATAGTCCTGCAATTACCTATGCTAAAATCGCAGGCTAAAGCTCAAACTCCTAACGAGAGACTGGCTACAGAAGCAGATTAGTAAGAACGCGCGGGCTTCAAGGTATCGAGGAGATTAACTACGTCCTTACATGGTGGAGATGTTCGCGGAGATCTCGGCCCAGAACTGGCCGACGAGCAGATTCAGATTCTTAAGAGCGTACACGCGGAGAGCCGGTTCTTCCTCGTCGAGCATGGCCAGCAGGCCGCTCGCACTGGTAATGACCGTCATGGCTGCGACTAGAACCGCGAATCGGCTCCGATCGGCGATTTGACAATCCTGGTTCTTGGTTCTAGTCTGGATCGGGAATTAGAGCCGTTAGAGGCTCCGTACAGCCGAATCTCGGAATGAACTGTTCTCAGCTGCCTGCTTGCTCTAATTCAAGCAGGATTCGCGATGTGTCAGCGAACTGGCGATACAGCAGGAACTGTTCGATGTTGCTGTTTCGGTGGTGTTACAAGAGACAATGTGATATTTCACTAAATATAGAATGAAGCACAACTGCTATCGATATAGTGGCGAGTGCTTCTACAGTAAGAAAATTCCACCGTGAAATGGGCTTGTGATTCGTGATAGTGTCAGCAAATCAACAACAGCTCGTGACCAGCTTCGAACATTGGTGGGTTTAGGGAACTAATACTTATGCGTTTCACTGCTTCCAGACTACCACGAAAAAAACATTGCACCTGACCAAACCATACAAAGCCGATTTTACCTTAACAAATGAAACTCTCGCGTTTTGAACTTGCTTCAGCTATGGGTAGCAGAATTTGATCTCACTTCAGCCAGGCTGTAACATATCCAATGAAACGGTACTTGGTGTGATGTTCTACCATCCTAGTTGGAGGATGTGCAACCAGGATATGACTCACAATTTCAAACATCAGCAACCTGCATTCTTCAATTCTGGTGTCTACAATGACAATGCACCAAGAGTAGACCACCTGCGTAGGGTATTGAACAAACACATCTGGTACAGTTCAAAATTGGTTCTTCAGTTGTCGACGAAACTTACCGTATTTGCCACTGCACGTTACTTCTGAAAAGGATTCGGTGCTGTGGATGACCCTGAAGGCTTTCCGAAAGTTGCCGTACTGCCAGTAGGGTTTGCTAAGTTAAATGGCGGAGGGGAGGGGAAGGGAGATGGCTGTCCAGCAGCAGCAGAAGCAGCAGCAGCAGCAGCAGCTGCAGAGGAGCTGTCTGGGCCCTTTTGGGAGAAAGGACTGGAGGGAGTTGCAGATGCGAAAGAGAAAGCTGGCGCTGATGACCCGAATGCTGGCGCTGACGATCCGAACACTGGCGCTGATGTCGCAAATGCTGGCGCTGACGATCCAAATGCTGGCGCTGACGATGCAAATATGCTTGATGCTGATGGCTGGCTTGGTGCAATAGCAGCTTGGCTTGAAGGTGCTCCTGTTGCTGCCGCTGCTTTCACCTCAGGAAAGGGCCTGTATGCAGAACCAGAAAAAAGAGACAATACAGTGTTGAGGCGAGAGAAGAGGAAGTGAAGGAATAGAAAGCAGCTATTGGTAGTTATAGCGTGAAGGGCGACCAACACCCACTGATATCTCAGCTCTTGGCAGCATCAGCAGCCTTCAATAAGCTTCCAGGATAACACTTTCATCCCATGTGCTCGCCTGAACACACCAACCGAGTCCTTGAAAACTGCAGCAGGCTTGCTGTTGCTGCCCTATGGAACATCACCATAGCACGCAGGGTCTGGTAACCGGGTAACCCTGCATAGTGCTCACCTGAACACACCAACCGAGTCCTTGAAAGCTGCAGCAGGCTCGTTGCTGCTCCCGCTGTTGGTGCTGCTGACAGTGGAATGACTCACGCCCTTGGGCTCACCGAATGGTCTGGTAACCAGGTAACACTGAAGTGCTCACCTGAACACACCAACCGAGTCCTTGAAAGCTGCAGCAGGCTCGTTGCCGGTGGTGGTGCTGGTGGTGAAATGACCCACGCCCTTGGGCTTACCAAACGAAGGCACCCCACCTCCCCCGAACAAAGCGCTTCCTCCTGATTGGCTACCCCCTCCGAACAAAATGCTTCCCGAACCAAACAACGGGGCTGCCGAACCAGCAGGACCGGCAGCAGCAGCAGTAGCTGAAGCTGTTGCAGCAGCAGAAGAACCACCACCAGCAGCAGCAGCACTCGGGCCCTTATCACCACCAGCACCACTCAATCCTCCCTCTGTCCCACCCCTGGCATTCTCCTGTGACTGTGTGGTATCAGGCTCTGATCCGTCTTGAGAAACCCGCATGCCAAACAGGGGGTTCTGATGCAACACCTGCGCATTTCCCAGGGGTACTGGCGCTGTTGCCCCTCTTGCTAAGGGCACTGGACTGGTGCCTACGGGTCCTTGCTGCCCAAACTGCCCAGATCCAAAAAGTTTTCGCTGAAGCGGGAGCTCTGATTGGCTGGGAGCAGTGGGAGCAGCTGTAGCAGTTGAAGTGAAAGGCGGAGGGGAGGCAGGAACTGCTGGAAAGGAGAAGAGTGACAGTGGTGGCTGCTGCTGCTGCTGCTGCTGCTGCTGCTGCTGCTGCTGCTGCTGCTGATGTTGCTGCTGCTGTTGAGATTTGCTAGAGGATTTCGGGAACGAGAGGGGAGAACCTGAGAGGGATGCTGCACCCGCCCCACCACAAAGTATCGGAGAGCCGAAGTGGGGTGCGGGAGCAGCTTTGGGAGAGGAGGCCTTAGCTGAAGGCGACTGAACTGGCTGCATGGGCTTGCGTGGCAGGGCTGTAGCGGAAGGAACTTTGGTGATTGCTTTGGGTTGACTTCTGGCGTCTGGCTTGACTAGTCCTGTTCTGGCTGGGATGGCTGTGGTGGTTGTGGTGGGGAAGGCAGAGGGTTCGCCATGTGCTTGGACGATCTGCTGGTGCTCGGAAGGAGCGATGAGTCGAAGCACTGACTCCTGGGGAAGGGGAAGAAGGGAGAGGGAGGTGGGGAGGGGGGCGTGAGGTGGAAGGCAGACGGTTCGCCGTGTGCTTGGATGAAAGGGAGCAGTCAGTTTTGAGCGTCAGTTTTGCTGCTTGGACGGTTCGCCTTGTGCTTGGACAATTTACTGGTGCTCCAAAAGGGAGCAGCCAGTATAAGGGCACAAACCCTGGGGAGAGGGGGAAGGGAGGGATGTGGAGGAAGGAGGGGGGGACAGATTGGTGGGTGCAGGTTTTGGGGGGGGAAGCAGTAGGAGGAAACAAACGGTTGTATCAACATGTATGCAACTGATAGAGCATACATGTTTGGTACACGTTCGGTTCATGTCCCGAGGTTAAATGCTATGAACCGTTACAAACCTCCCTCTCTTCTGTTTTTTTCTCGTTTTTATTCTAATGACAGACACGTACCAGCAGCCTTATCCTCTTTTCGCGCAGCCGAACCGTCAATCCCTTCGCCCCTCTCCTTTTTCTTGCTCCATTCGCTGCAACACCAGCACCACCACCAGCAGCAGAACCAGCTGAAGCATCCATAGGACTTCCTCCTCCTTCCTCCTCCTCTCCATCCTCACTCCCTCCCTCCTGTCCGTCCTCCTGCTGCCCCTCCTCATCCCCGTTATTGGCATCTTCACTCTCCTGCTGTGCCTCTACTGCTGCCTCTATAGCCCAGACTTGCTTGTGCGCCAACAGTGCTGCCTTGTACCGTGCCCTCTGCAAGAAAAAAAAAAAACAGGAAAGGAAGGAGGGAAAGGGGAAATGAAGAGTGTGGATGGGAAAGGGTGAAACAAACGCGAGTACCAACGTAATACACCCACCTAATATATGGCCCACACTGGCTTGTGCACTGATAGTCCTACCTTGTAGCGAGCCCTTGAAGCAAAAGAGCAAGGAAGTGGGAAGGGGAAAAGGAAGAGTGCAGATAGAAACACCTCGAGTAACCTGACACACAAAAGGTTACCTTTCGAAAAAGCACGAGAAGGTAACCTTCTCATGTGGAGGTACGGTAACCCTGACAGAGAGACACACCTCGCGTACCCAGACACACACGAGCTCACCTCCACATGGAAGAGCACGAGAAGCGTGGCACATGCCCCCTCTGGCTGCAGCCGCCCCCTCCCAGAGAGAGGAGACATATGTACCACACATGAGCCCAGATGACCCTCTATACACACGAGCTCACCTCCACATGGAAGAGCACAAGAAGCGTGCCGCATGCCCCCTCTGGCTGCTGTGCCGTGCGAGTTAACAAGCAGCGCTGTAGCACTGCTCCCTCCCTGCCCCTCCAGGGGAACGCCAGCACCTCGGGCACTGCCTGGTGTCTCACTGCTAGCCAGAAGAGCTCCGATACAAGCACATCCACTGCTTCTGTATAAGCACCCTTGGCTGCTTCGTTAGTAGCACTCTCAGCAGCAGCAGCAACAGAAGCATCCGCACCATCAGCAGCAGCATCAGTAGCGTCAGCATATAGGTGGGGAGAAGAGGGGTCGTTGACATGTGGTTGCTTGCAGTAGGCTCTAAGGTACAGGAAAGCCTCTGTTAAGAGCCGATTCTCTATAAGCACTCGCAGCGCAGTAACCGCTTCCTCCAGAGGCACCGCCAGGTCCGGAAATATGGGGGTTGCCGCCGAGCCTGGGGTGCTGCTGGCTTGGAAGATTGCCGGGCCTGGGCTGCAGGCTCGGAGGATCTGGAGCGCAGGCTCGGGCTTGCCTCGTTCGATCAGGACTCGAGCGATTCGGGGATGGATGGGAGGGGCCGTGGAGGAGGAGGAAGAGGAGGGGGAGGAGAGGGAGATGAGGTGGGGTATCAGCGAGCAAGCCTCCTGCAGACAGAGAGAAGACGAGAGGAGAAAGGGGAGAGAAGAATATGCAGCGCAACGCAAAAAATTTGGCAGCATACTGTCAACATCGTCTTTGCCACATTCTGTTTTGCAACTTTGTCTCATTTCCCAAAACAAAGCTGCGGAGCGATGGAAAGGCTTTAGCTGCGGAGCGATGGAAAGGCTTTAGCTGCGGAGCGATGGAAAGGCTTTAGCTGCGGAGCGATGGAAAGGCTTTAGCTGCGGAGCGATGGAAAGGCTTTAGCTGCGGAGCGATGGAAAGGCTTTAGCAGCATACCGTCACGTCAAAAGCACTGTCTACGCCACATTGTGTTTTGAGACGTCCCAAAACAACGTTGCAGAGCAATGAGAAAATTCTAGCAAGCAGCATATCGTCACGTCAACATCGTCTCTGCCACATGCCCAGCACCCATGTTCAAGCACCCATGCAAGCAGCACATGCAGCAGCAGATGCAAGCACATTCAATCTCCACGCAAACACGTGAGCGATTTTTGAGAAATCTCAAAAATCGCTCACACGTGTTTGGAGATTGAAGGCATCGCCAAGCATGTACCTTCAATCCCTCCTCTGTGCCTTCATCATGCATCACCATCACCATCACCATCACCATCACCATCACCATTGTCTCAACCGCGTGCCCATCACCCACGTCCATCCATGCAGGCAGGCAAGCACAGCTGCACCCATATGTAGCACCACATGCATCAAACACATACCTTCAATCCCTCCTCTGTTTGCTCATCCACCATCACCATCACCATCACCATCACCATCGTCTCCACCACGTGCCCGTCACCCACGTCCATGCTCGCCCCAAAGTCCTCCACCATCCCTGTATAGTGCATCCTTGCTTGCACACACACCCAACAAACACTCACCTCTAAACCCTCCTGACTCTGTTCATCTAGTAACACCATCACCATCGTCTCCACCACGTGTCCGTCGCCCACGTCCATGCACGCCCCAAAGTCCTCCACCATCCCCCGCCACCGCTGCTGCCCCTCGCTCCGCCCGCCCTGGTAGAAGCGATCAATGAGGTAGTATAGGAACTGGGCAACGGCAGGAGAGGAGGGAGAGGAGGGAGAAAGGAGAACAAAGGGAGCAAAGGGAGCAAAGGAAAACATCATGAGCCCAGGAACTGTCACCGCTGCTGCCATTCACTCTGCCCTCCCTGGTAGAAGCGATCGATGAGATCGTAGAAGAACTAGAAGGAGGAAGAGGGAGCAGGGGGGGAGGGGGTGGGGGAGGTGGTAGCAGAGGAGGTCACTCAATTGTCCTCCACCGGTCTCCACCACGTGGCCTTCACCCACGTCCATGCTCGTCCGAAGTCCTCCCCCCAACCCCCGCCATCTCTGCTGCCCCTCGCCCTGCCCTCCCTGGCTGGTAGAAGCGACCAATGAGGTAGTATGGGAACTGGGGAAATAACAGGCGGGGGAAACGTGGGGGAGAGGGTGCGGAAGAGGGGGAGAGAAAGGGGTCAGTCGTCCGCAGTCCTCCCCCAGCCCCCGCCACCACTGCTGCTGCCCCTCTCACCCACGGGGAGCTGGGGCAGAGGAGGTTACTTGGTCCTCCCAGCCCCCGCCACCGCTGCTGCCCCTCGCCCTGCCCTCCCTGGTAGAAGCGATCAATGAGGTAATAGAGGAGCTGGGGCAGGAGGAGAAGGATGAGGGAGCAAGGAGAAGGGTAGTAGGGGAGGTTACTCGACCATTCATGGCCCACGCCATCGCTGCTGCTGCCCCTTGCCCTGCCCTCCCGGGTAGAATCAATCGTTGAGGTGGTATAGCACCTGGGTGTACGGTTTTTGAGAATTCTAAAAAAGCATACGCTGTATAGCACCTGGGGCAGGAGAGTGAAGAAACGGAAAGATGGGGGGAAACGGGAGAGATACTAGAAAGTCAAAATGATAATAACAATGAAAATAATCATTATTATTATACTAATAACAATAACAATAGTAATAATAGTATTACTAACAATAATAACAATAGTAATAATGAACCAAAACAAACCAGAAATACTCACAATTGCTTTCTTGGCCAGAGCTCGATCAGCACCCGCCTCCAAAAACAAAAAATCGACCGCTGCCCGGAAATTCTCCGGCGGGTATTGAAACCCCGCCGCTGCTGCTGCTCCTCCTCCTCCACCCACTAACCCAGGACTCCCTCCCTGCAGGAGAAACTTCCCGGAAGCAGCAGGTGGGGTGGTGGGTACTGGTTGCTTGAGAGACAGCAAGTCAAGCTGGTCGCAACTCAACAGCGAGGGGGTATCAGATATGGGATTCGCACAAGATGCACCACTTGCGCTCTCCTTACTGCCTTCTCTGCTGCTTTCCTTGAGGTTGTCTATTGCGTCATCAATAAACAACAACTTCCCATTCTGCTGCTGCTGTTCCTTTGCCCCTCCTGCTCTCCCTCCCTTGCCTCCCCCCCCTCCCCCTGCTCCAAGCACTGTGCCAGCAGCGCCAGCAGCAGCAGATACGCTAAGGAACTCCGGCCAGGCCGTCTCGTTTGCCGCCTGCTTCCTCTGGCGAATCACGGCGCGCCACGTGGCGTGCGACGAGTGGCGGGGAGGAAGGCCCTCGAAGAATCGGTTCTTGGCAGCCCACTGCATCACGTCCAGATGCTGTTGAGTGGGGAAGCGGAAAGTGAGAGGGTTGGGGGGAAGAGGGGAGAGGAGTGAGGAGGAAGAGGAAAGTGAGAGGGTTGGGTAGAGAGAGGTAGAGAAAGGCCCTAGAAGAATCGGTTCTTGACAGCCCACTGCATCACGCCCATTTTTTAGTTGACTCAAAAATCGACTCATCACTCTTGGCAGCCCACGTGATGACTTTTGAGGCGCCTCAGAAGCCCACGTGATTCTCACGTGATGCAGTGATGCATCACGTCCAGATGCTGTAGGGGGGAGGGAAGGACAGAGGAAAAGGGGGAACGAATGAGGAGAAGCGGGAAGTGGAGGGGGGGACAATGAGGGGGGGAAAGGCCCTCAAAGAAACGGTTCTTGGCAGCAGCCCACTGCATCGCGTACAATGCTGCAGGGAGGGAAGTGAAGGTAAGAAGGGGGCACGGAGGGTAGGAAGGAACAGAGAAGGTGGGTGGGAACGGGCAGAAGAGGTGAGGAGGAAGAAGAGGGGATTACGAGTGGCCGGGAGGAAGGCCCTCGAAGAATCGGTTCTTGGCAGCCCAGTGAATGACCTCCAGATGCCCTCTCCACAGCCCTCCCCACTGCCCTCCCCACTGCCCTCCCCACTGCCCTCCCCATCACTGCCCTCCCCACTGCCGTGCCCACTGCCGTCCCCACTGCCCTCCCCACTACTCTCCCCACCACTGCCGTCCCCACTGCCGTCCCCACTGCCGTCCCCACTACCCTCCCCACCACTGCCCTCCTCACCACTGCACTCCCCACCACTGCCCTCCCCACCACTTCCCTCCCCACCACTGCCCTCCCCACCCCACCACTGCCCTCCCCACCACTTCCCTCCCCACTTCCACTCTCAACCAAACTGTGCTGTCAAACTGTGCTGTCAAACTGTGCTGCCAAACTGTGCTGCCAAACTGTGCTGTCAAACTGTGCTGCCAAACTGTGCTGTCAAACTGTGCTGTCAAACTGTGCTGCCAAACTGTGCTGCCAAACTGTGCTGTCAAACTGTGCTGCCAAACTGTGCTGTCAAACTGTGCTGCCAAACTGTGCTGTCAAACGCCTACTGCTCGCACCTGGGATGCTCTCGCAGCTGCTTCCGCCACTCTCACCCACGCCCCTTGCACCTCTCTGTGGCCCCTCGCCCAACCTTTCCTCCCTTCCAAACCTTCCCCCTGTCCCCCCCCTCCAATGCGCTCACCTGGGATGCTCTTGCAACAGCTTCCGCCAGCCTCCCACTCATGCCCCTACCGCCCCTCCGTTCCCCCGCTCCCACCCCCTCCCCTCCCCCTCTCCCACCCCTTCCCCGTTTTCCCCCACTTTCCCCCTTCCAATGCGCGCACCTGGGATGCTCTTGCAACAGCTTCCGCCAGCCTCCCAGCCTCCCACTCATGCCCCTTGCGCCCCTCCATTCCTCCGCTCCCCCCTCTCCCCCCCTCCGCCTCCCCCTGCTGCATCTGCGCCTGCTGCCGCGCCAGGGGGTCGTCTGCGCCCTGCAGTGTTGCCAGCACCTGAGAAATCCCCTGAAGGCGCATGGCCAGGCAGGTGGCATCATCCATGCGACGATCAGTGATGCCAGAGGCGTCTGGAGGGAGGGGGGATTGGAGAAAAAAGGGAGTGAATTTGACTCATGGAAATAGAATGCGAAGGAGGAGAGGAAGTGGGCTGTGTCAGTGCTTGTCATGAAGAAGAGCAGTAGTAGGAGGGGATGTCTTAGCAAAAGATGATAGTCTCTCTAGAAAAAAATGTAACCCTTTGAAGGAGGAGATGGAGTGGGCTGTGTGCGATCAGTGATGCCTGTGGCGTCTGGATGGAGGAGGGGGGATGGGGGAGGGGATTGGGGATGGGGGAAGGGTGAGGGGGGAAGGAGAACGTGGGGACGATGGGGGAGAGATTATGGATAGGGGGCTGCGGGGAGAGGGGGTGCGGGGATAGGGGGAGTAGGGTGCGCACAACTGGTAAGGCAGGTGGTGTCACTCATTCGGCAATCAGTGATGCCTGTGACGTCTGGATGGAGGGAGGATTGGAGCAAAAAGGGATTGAATTTGACTCATGGAAAGTCAAAGGGAGTGAATTTGACTCATGGAAAGTCAAAGGGAGTGAATTTGACTCATGGAAAGTCAAAGGGAGTGAATTTGACTCATGGAAAGTCAAAGGGAGTGAATTTGACTCATGGAAAGTCAAAGGGAGTGAATTTGACTCATGGAAAGTCAAAGGGAGTGAATTTGACTCATGGAAAGTCAAAGGCAGTGAATTTGACTCATGGAAAGTCAAAGGGAGTGAATTTGACTCATGGAAAGTCAAAGGGAGTGAATTTGACTAGGCAGGTGGAGTCACTCATTCGACAATCAGTGATGCCTGTGACGTCTGGATGGAGGAGGAGGGATGGGGGGAGGGGAAGGTGTAAGTAAGAGGAGGAGGAGGAGGAGGAGGAGGAGGAGGAGGAGGAGGAGGAGGAGGAGGAGGAGGAGGAGGAGGAGGAGGAGGATTAGAAGGAGGAGGGGAAGAGGACCACAAAGAACCACACAGAACTACTCAGAATCGCACAGAACCGCACTGAACTGCACAGTACTGTACAGGACCACACAGAGCCGCACAGAACTGCTCATAATCGCACAGAGCCGCACAGAGCCTTTGACTTGATCCCAGAACCGAGCGTCCTCTTGATCCCAGTAAAGGTCCTCTGCGCCCATTCGAGCACGAGCCTGGGGTCCAGCAGGAGAGAGAGCACTGGATCGCTGGAAACCGCTGCTGCTCTCAGATAGAACCACCCAGAACCGCACAGAACCGTAGAGAGTTCAAAGAAAACACTTACATAGATCTCTGAGAGTCCTTCTTATCCCGGTGAAGGTCCTCTGCGCCCACTCGAGCACGAGCCTGGGATCCAACAGGAGAGAGAGCACTGGATCACTGGAGACCGCTGCCTCGTCCATGCACACCTCCTCCACGTCTGTTGAAGGTGGGGGGATGTGGTGAGAGGTGGGGGGGAAGAGAACGGGGGGAGTGGACGGCCAAGGGAAGCAGAGAGCACCGCGTCGCTGGAGACCGCTGCCTCGTCCATGCATACCTCCTCCACGTCTGATGGGGACAGGAGGAGGGGACAGGACAAGGGAAAATACGTATGAGGAGAGGTAGCGGTCTCCAGTGAGGAGAGGAGAGGCAGCAGGAGAGAGAGCGCCGGGTCACTGGAGATCGCTGCCTCGACCATCCATGCATACCTCCTCCACGTCTGATGGTGGTGGGGTGGGTGGGGGTCCGGAATAGGGGAAAGATGGATTGAAAGAGAGGCAGGATGCAGTGGCAGCACTGGATCGCTGGAGATTGCTGCCTCGTCCATCCATACAGACCTCCTCCACGTCTGTTGAAGGTTGGGGAGGGTTGGGGTGGGAGTGAAGGAGAGCGGCAGGAGAGAGAGCACTGGATCGCTGGAGACCGCTGCCTCGTCCATCCATGCACACCTCCTCCACGTCTGATGGTGGTGGGGTGGGGAAGAGGAGGAGCGAAAGGTGGGTTGGAAACAGGGGAGGAGGGGGGGGGAAAACGAGGGGGGTTAAGACGGGTTGACTCGACACGGTGCGCGGAATAGTGGCGAGGAGAGGTGGGTCGAGACAGGCAGGGGGTGACTCTTATGGGTTAACACGACGCAGCACTCAGTGGCAGATGAGAGTAACAAGCCCGCGGTCCAGAGCAATGTCAAAGAGGGCAAACAGCCGCCGCACGTCCATGGGACACCCCTGAGCGTCCGCCCCCAGGCCCCTGCTGCTCCGGCCCACCATATCCCTCCCCCCACTCACAGTGGCAGATGAGAGTAACAAGCCCGCGGTCCAGCGCAATGTCAAAGAGGGCAAACAGCCGCCGCACGTCCATGGGACACCCCTGAGCGTCCGCCCCCAGGCCCCCAATCCCCCCTCCGCCTCCCCCTGCTGCTCCCCCTGCCGCTCCGCCCCCCCATCCGGAGTCTTTAACCACGTCTTTGAGAGGGCTGACAAGGCCGGCATCTACACAGGCGTCGTATAGACGGATGTGAATCCGCTCGCCGGACTGCCGCGCAGAACCCCCTTCCCCTGCTGCTACTCCTGCAGCAGAAGCAGCAGCAGAGAAAGCTGCAGCAGCGGAAGCAGCAGCGGAAGCAGGGACGCCGATGGGGCAGCGGCAGACGGGGCAGGCGGAGCAGCGCTGGGCGCACTCCCCGCAGAGGCAGGCGTGGCGGCAGGGCAGCAGGCAGTGGTGCACGGTGCGCCCACACGGCCTCAGTTCGCGCATGGCTCGGCACCTCTCCGCCCTGGCTTCTAAGGGGAGGGCCCTCGCAGGGGTAGCAGCCAGGCGCAGCAGCACTTCCTGTTTGGGGGAGGGGGGGATGGTTGAGTCCAGGGCACGCAGTGGTGCACGGTGCGCCCACACAGCCTCACCTCCCGCATGGCACGGCACCTCTCCGCCCTCGCCTCCAAAGGCAGGGCCCTCGCAGGGGTAGCAGCCAGGCGCATTTGTACTTCCTGTTTGGGGGAGGGGGGGATGGTTGAGTCCAGGGCACGCAGTGGTGCACGGTGCGCCCACACAGCCTCACCTCCCGCATGGCACGGCACCTCTCCGCCCTCGCCTCCAAAGGCAGGGCCCTCGCAGGGGTAGCAGCCAGGCGCATTTGTACTTCCTGTTTGGGGGAGGGGGGATGGTTGAGTCCAGGGCACGCAGTGGTGCACGGTGCGCCGATACGGCCTCACCTCCCGCATGGCACGGCACCTCTCCGCCCTCGCCTCCAGAGGGTGGGCCCTGGCGGGAGTCAGAGCCAGGCGCAGCATTAGCATTTCCCAGGCCAGCCGCGCAGAGAAATGCTAATGATTTGAAATACTTCTCAGGCTGGTAAGATCTATCCGGCTGGTAGGTTTTATCAGGCTGGTGGCATTTATCAGGCTGGAAACATTACGGGAATGGAGTACTACTACAGTGCGAGTTTTAGATTCCTAGGAGGTCACTGACCACATACGGTCGGAATCACCTCGCGATTCCATACAGTGTACCCGCAGCATCTAGCACCCGCACTTTACAGTGTGCCTCACATTTTGATACAGTGTGCCCGCCGTCTAGTATCATCTGCACTCTAATGGCTGCTTCGCGTTGATACAATGCTGACGGCGGTGGTATTGGCGTGGACTCAAGACTCGTTTCTAAGGGTAAACTCTACACAGTGTGGCTGCCGTACCTTCCCTCAATTGACTGCCTCGCGATTCAATAACGTGTGCATGCCGTGCCTGCCGACGGGGTTGACTTCGGACTCAGTGCACCCTGCCATTTCTAGGTTAACCCGTTACAAGGTACTGGTCATTCTTCGGTCCTAACCGTACATAGAGGAACTCTAAACAGTGTTTTCGCCGTACCTGCTGACGGCGGTCCATGATCTCCGATTTGGACCCGGCAATCAAGAATCCAACGGTGGACGTTAGATCGAATCTGCAGTCCGTCCGATCTAACGATCAGCAGCCCGACGACTGTTCCGAAACGACGGGAAACTCTGCTCGAGATTAGTCTGATTGATTGTTGAGGCCAACTCGCGAGTGACTAAATTTCTAATTGTGAGAAGCAAATGTTTTGTGATAGGCTGAGCATCGACTGCATGGCTGCTGAAGCTGACGCTGGCGCTGTTGGCACATAGGGACAAACGAAAGCCGTGTCTCATAGCCGTAGCAAGTTCAAAACGCGAGTGTTTTATTCGTAGAAGTAAATTCGGCTTTGTATGGTTTGGTCGGGTGCAATGTTTTTATGTTGTGTTACTCTAAGGAACATTCCTTTTCCTTACTTCGCATCCCTGCTCAACGCGTACATCACTGTAGCACCACAGTCAGCACCGTTACCACTAAACAGATGGAACTATCGAGGCCGCCATGGCCGTTCAGGCCCAGCCTGGAACTCATCGCGCGTGCACCCTACGTGTCAGCTGCTCATAAAAACAACAGCTACAGAATGCTCATGTTACGGCGAAGAGATCGATACTCTTTAAGTGTTCAACCGACGAACATTGTATTGACCTCACAGTCTAACCTGTTGTTATCACAGCTATCTAAGTCCAAGGTTAATGTCACCAGCGCGCTACTCCCAGGGTCTCATATCAAGGGTCATGACAACCAAACATATCGCTATTGGCTAACCAGATTCTGGCATCTTAATCATGGCGAACATTTCAAGGTTTTATCAGCAGTGTCACAGCACCTGCAGCAAGAACAATGGCGTTCTTCCGGCATAATGGAGTTATATATAAAGACTATGCTCACTCTTTCACACCAAACAAACCGTGCACTCTGTTCAGCACTTCTTCCGATTTTCAGTCATCTTTGCAACATGCCTCGTGCTCCTGCCAAGGGGAAACAAGTGGTGGATGATATTTCTGTTAAGGAGACCTTAAGTGACCTTCCTACGACGCCTGACACTCCAGTTACTAAGACAAACGACACTGATACTGCATCTGACAACCAGGCTGGGAGTTCTGGTCTCACACCTGCTGAAAAAGCTTCAACTTGGTCCCTGCTGTCGGCGGATGGTTTCCTGGAAGACGACTCTGATGAAGAACTTGACATTGACGTGCAACAAGAAGCTGCTGCTCGTCTCCGTTTTACGGCAATCCTGCTAGTCCCCTTCACGCTGAAGCAGGAGATGGGTAACATCATCAACATGGTATGGATTCTGCTCCGGAAAGTCTGGATATCCTCGCTATCTCCTGGTGCTGTTGACTCGGTCGCGGTGCTGACCCTCCCTGCGACTTATGTTGCGAAGCAACATTTCTGCCGTCTCCAAGTCTCCTTCCTGCGTGAAGAAGATGCGGTTGCGGTCAGGCTGCGTGTGGTTGAGTATCAGCGTCCAAAAGGGAAGATAACTCTTTTCTGGCAGCACACGGAAGATCCAGCTTACCAGAAAGAGAAGGTGTCTAACCCTGCTGTTATTGAGCTTTATTTCAAAGACGTACCGGCTAATGTCTCACCTGATTTGCTGAAGGACATGCTGTGTCGCTATGCACTCAAGATCCCCAAGCTGCCTGCGTTTGCCAAAGGCCTCTGCTTCCACCGGGTGGCTCACCCCGTCACGGGAGCTGATACTGACACAGTGAAGGGTCTTGTGATCGCTCATCCGAACGACCATTACCGCTGGCGTCATGCTGTCAACAACCCCATGGATTCCTCGAAGCAGATTCTTGTGCACTACCCCCTGCTATCCTGCACGTTCTGTAGCGGACACCATTATGACAAGTTTCATGATGTGTTCGTCACCGAACGTCAGAATAACATAGGGAAGTGGAGTTTGAATTTGGGAAGGGTGCATAAGATCAATGGTAACGCAGTGCCTTTTCAGTACTTACTTGATTCCTTTCTTTCCTCCAAACTTGGTACTAACGGCCGCATCTCCTATCGCAGCTGCGTCCACCCGCACGTCCCCGCTACTCACACCTATCCTCCTGGATCCTGCCATTGTGCTGATCTCAACGGGAGGGAATCGGGAGGAATGGATCTGCACCCAGGCGGGGTGTGGGAAAGCGAAGGGTCTGTCCTTCATGTCAGCAGCGGATCACATAACGTCGGCAGATCACCTGATCCATCTAGAAGAACTGGGCTCGGCGACCAGGGTGACCATGAGAACAGTGAACCTGCTCACCGCCAAGAAGGATTACGGAATGTGATGGAGTGCTACAACGGCTGCAGTCTGTCAAGGAGACGAGCCCTATGTCCCTGCAGTCAGCCAGAAGGAGGGTGTAGGAGGACCATCAGTGATGCTGGACAATCTATTACTGATCAGGCTCTTGAGTGCTTTTTAGTCGGATCGTTCTTCTCAACGGTAGCTGTTTGTGGAGTTTTCTTTATCTGTACGCTGTTCCGACCCGTGGATGCGATGGGGTCTGCAGCTGTAGTTAAATGAATACACGGAACAAGTTTGTGATCACCGCGCTAAACATCAATGGTTTAGGCGGAGCGGAGAAGAGGAGCACTCATTTAAACTGGATCAAATCAGCGGCAACCATCTTAGTCTTAACAGATACTAGAGTAGCAGCAGATCACAATTTCTGGACCCAACTGAACCCAACAGCATTTGCAGCAGTCTCACCTGACGGGGGAGCGGGAGGTGTGGCTGTACTCAGCTTCATGGACGGGATGGTTTTCAAAGACATCTGCACACATGAATCAGGGAGATAGGTAGCAGTAACAGTGGAGAGGGGAGGATTGTCATGGCGGATTTTAGCTGCGTACTTCCCGGCTCAGGCAACCAACAGGGGTATTTTCTTCAGAGACTGCTTAGCAGGGTTCGTCAGCATCCTATCACCAGTGAATCACACAATCCTAATAGGGGACCTCAATGTGGTAGCAGATCCAAGGATTGACAGGTCGTCGAAGGTGGGGTCGGTAAGGGAAAATCAACGCTTGCTGGACATTCTGTCGCAGCTTGACCTGCAGGATGCTTTCAGAACCTTACATCCAACCAAGCGTGAATATACCTTCTACGCACCCTCAGTGAAGGAACGGTCCCGCATCGACAGCGCGTTGGTGTCGCAGGCGTTCCTGCATAAAGTTGGTGATGCGTACCACTCCTCGATCCCTCATGGCATCTCGGATCATTGGTACGCGATATCGTTGGAGCTCCTGGTGGAGGCAGACAAGGGAAAAGGACCAGGGTTGTGGAGGATGTATGCGGACCAAGTGAAACATCCAAGCGTCAGAAAGCTGATCCAACTGTCCCTCGGGGAACACGAAGAGCACCTGAAGCAGGGCCTCCCGGAGCTACTGGTGAAACTGCAAGCAAGCATCAGAGTATACTCCAAAGAGGAAAAGAAGAGGGTAAAAAGAACGATGGCACGGCTGGAAGAGACGGTGGCGCGTTTGGAGTATGAATTTATGAATGGAGCTGGAGATGCGGACTGTTACCAGCAACTGATCAAGTACGGATCGATGCTTAAGGCTTATCGCGAAAAGCAAAGGGAGCGGCTGCAGACTATGGCAGGTGTACAGCAGGAGGTTTTTGGAGAAGTTTCGTCTAAGGTCTTATCAAGCCGCATATCATCACAAAGGGCGCAAACGACGATAGAGGAGATTTCATACAAGGGAGAGTGCTTCGTGGGAGAGAGAGAAGTACTTACAGCGGCATCCAGATACTTTACAGAAGCTTTTGCTGCTCAAGAGTCGGAGGCGAAAGAAGCTTGGCGCGTTGACCCTGCGAAAGTCCTGGGGTTACCCGAAAAAGAGCTGTTGAGAGCCCCTTGGACAGAGGAAGAGGTGCGACTGGCGATCAGGCAGCTGCCGAAGGGGAAGGCGCCTGGCCTGGATGGGCTCCCCAAAGAGATTTTTGAGGAAAATTGGGATCTGCTTGGACCGCATTTCTTCGCCTTCACTAAAGACTTCGAAAAGTCGGCGACTCTCCCATCCTCACTGACCACGGCGGTGACGATCCTCCTGCACAAGAAAGGAGACAAGGCGCGGTTAGAAAATTACAGACCTATCACACTCCTGAGTGCAGCTTATAAGATCGTGGCGAAGGTGCTGGCGAACAGGATAAAAAAGGTGTTACCACTGGTCATTTCGGAGCATCAGTTTGGCTTCATACCAGGGAGGAAGCTGGCAGATGCTGTTGATGTGGTGGCGGATGTCATCGATGCAGCGGCGTCAGGGAGAGAAGACTGGTATCTCCTCTTGGTGGACTTCCAAAAAGCATATGACTCAATATCAAGAGCCTACATGTTCCAAACACTGGAAAGGATGGGGTTTCCGGAGGAATTTGTGGGCTGGACGAAAGGGCTGCACACGCAAGCGGGTACGCAGCTGCTGATCAACGGGTGGCTGGGAGATAGGGTGGATATGGAGAGAGGCGTCAGACAAGGTTGTCCTCTCGCCCCCTATCTTTTCATCTGTGCAGCGGAACCGCTCAGCCAAGAGATCAAGAGGCGGCGCCTAGGGGTATGGAAGAGAGGGATTGGAAACATTGCGTATCTGGGGTACGCGGACGACACGACGGTGGTGCTCAAATCGAAGGAGCAGATTGGAAGAGCGGGTGCGCTGCTAGAGGAGTTTGGGGAGCTGTCGGGGCTCAATATCAACAAAAACAAGACGGTGATTGTTCCACTGGGGAAAAACAGAGACGTACTTCCACCGGTGGATGCATCATACCCTTGGGCAGAGAAGGATGAACCGCAACGACTGCTGGGTGTCTCGATAACTTCGAGTGGTGATCCAGCGCCGTCTTGGGAGAAAGCGGTGGATAGAGCTGGCGAAGTGATGGTGAAATGGCAGAACTAGCATGTAAACACGTCGACGCGGGTTACGGTGGTCAACTCGTACGCCACACCAGTGCTCCTGTTCCAAGCGCAGATCTATCCCCCACCGCGTGGTACATGGAAAGAATTCAGAACGACCAGCCACAACTTTACATCCAGCGGCAAAGCATCGGCGGACCGCCACTTCGTCCTCTGGGGAAGTGACCTGGCCTATACAGAAAGGAAGGAGGGAGGACTAGGAGTCATCAATCCAACAGCCCGGGTTGAATGCATGGCGCTCAAAAATCTTGGAGAGGCGGTTCAACAACGGGACCCAATGAAAGGATGGCTTATGGAGAGAGCGGCAGGAATGCCGCTGGGCTGGGCAACACCCCTGGCTCATCGCTCTGTCCTTTGGATATGGGTCAAAGGGGGGGAGAAGTGGAGACGGACGGTGATAACTTTCTGGCAGACCCTGCAATCGAAATTGCCGGCACCAGCGAACCGGTGGGAGTATGCTAACGAGAGGATTTGCTTCAGCAGATATATCTTCTACAGGGGAAAAAGTCCCTTTGGCCGACAAAAGGGGTCAGAGTGCCTGCTGGAGATGAAGCTGGGGGACTTAATACATACAGGATGGGATGGAGAGAGGAAGGTCAAAGACGTGTGGGCTCTGACTAAAGAAACTGGCAGTTCAGTGACGGCGAGATGGGCCTTGAAGGCATGGAAAGCAGCACCAGAGGAATGGAAGGCGACCCTGCTGGAGAAGTTAACAGGAGAGGAGATTCTAAAGGTGTCACGCTTTGCCAGCTCACGCTCTCTGGCGGGGAACGTGCTATACTGGCAGCTGATGACTTGCGATGGCGGCGAAATCCTGGGCAAAGCAGCGGCGGTAGGAAAAAAGGGCGAAGTGCTGCTCTCAGACAGAGCTACTCAGATACGACTGAACGTGCACAGATTGACTCCTCTGGTAGTGGATGGCGGGGCTTTGGTGGGAGAAGCTGGCCTTCCTCTTATAAGACTCAGGATGTCGGTGCTGTGTGAGAAGGGCAAGGGAGCTTCACTGAAAAAGCTGCGGGCAGCCTTGAAGGGACCAGCTGTACAACCGAAGCAGCAAAAAAAGTGGGAGGAGGAATACGGAAAACAGATAGACTGGAAAGGGAACATCTAGAAGCGGGACAGTCTGGTCACACCGAGCAGGGCTCGCGAGGTCATCTTGCGACTACACAGCAAAAACCTCCAAGTTGGAGAGAGACTACACTTCATGCCAGACCGTATCAGCTGCCCACACTGCAAAGAAGTCGAAACCCTAGGGCACTGTTTGCGGGAGTGTACCTGCATCAAGCCTGTCATCGGCGCGCTAAAAGGGGCTCTGAGAGAGATGAATCCAAGCAGGGCAGTGGAGAGGCTGGAGGACTTCCTGTTTGCGGATGATGGCACGAAGTCCGGCTTCCCAGAGAAGCCGTTGATTGCGGTGGCTTTCCACCAAATCTGGCTGGAGCGGTGTGAAGCGGCTTTTCGACAAGATAAATTTCAGCCGCGAAGAGTACTCAGGAAGATCGGAGTGAACTTCATGAAGCACATCAGAATCTACAGTGCGTGCAAGAAACAGTCAACGGGGGCGGCAGACGTGGAAACGGAAGGTGTGGTGCAGAGCTGGAAACACCTGGCGAAGGACGAGGCTAGGATGCTGAGCCGGATCTTCGAGGATGAGGACACGCTACTGTGGAAAGAGGGATTCAGATCGGTTTGGAACAACCCGAGAACTATCTTTCATCCACCTTAGTACTCCACGGAAGGGTAGTGTAGACCGTTGGTTTGCCAGACCCCTTCCCCCCTCACAGTTACGACTGTGGATGTACCCGCTTTTATAAGTGTAATACATCCTTCAAAAAAAAAAAAAAAAAAAAAAAAACACCGTTACCACTCGCAATCCTCGGATCGACAATCCGCCCGCCACCTTCGCACGCCGCATCCCGACCTCATGGCTCGGCAGGTAACCCGCGCTCCGGGCCTCCGCTTCGACACTTTTCCCAACCTCAATCCCAGGCCCGTCGCGCGACAACCACAATCCATTACCGTTACCACTGTAGTTTCGCTATATATTCTTCGCTCATGCCTTCGCTCATTGTACTCTTGCTTAGATAGTGCAATTCTCGTTCATTCACTCAATTGCACTCGTAACACTTGGTATTCTCGGACCGCACCCACACCTTCGCTTCCCCACTATCTCAATTTTTTGGGGGGGTAGACGTCTCTCAGCGACACAGCACCGCCGCTCGTAGTGCTCTCTCGTAAGCACGCACGGCCACGACCGAGGCTCTCGCTGAGCTCGCCCGACACCCCCGCCATGGCCGAATTCACACTCGCCACATTGACGCAGGAGCAGCTCGACCGTCTGGTGCGCCAACTTGAAGATTCGGCGCTCGAAATTGCGACGCTCTCGGCGGAACATGACTCCGCGCGTCAGCAATCGACGATGAACACTCCAGCGCCACCACACGCACCGACAATTGCATCTGCACAATCGGACGAGTCGATCGTCATCTCGTCCGGCACACCAACACAAAACAACAGCGTGGGACAGCGCTCAGGCGCAGCCAGTGATGGCACCGCCCAGCCGATGCCTGGCATGGGAGGTAACAGGGTCGCACCAAGCCCGCGGGAGCCTCGCGAAGCCCATCGGCACGTGGAGTTCGCGGCGACAAGTGGCGTGCAGACCATTAGGGCACCAATGCCACTCAAGCCGCAACGCCCGCCCTGCTTCGACCCGAGCGAGCGTAGAGGTCCGACGGTTCAATCGTGGGTCTTCACGATGAACGTCTTCTTCGACGCGAATTACGTCGAGTCGGACGCACCGAAGATTCGATATGCCGTTTCGCTGCTAAGGGGCCTCGCCATGGACTGGTGGCGAGTCATCGTGATGTCGCCACGCGCCTACGAGCCACCGTCGTAAGAGGAAGGGCCCACGGGCCCATCTGTCACCTGGAGTTCATTCAGTGAGACTGCCCAATACAGCACGTGGGATGCCTGGTGCGCAGGGCTTCGGGCGCGCTTCGAGCCGATCGCGGCTTCTATTTCGGCGCGTCAGAGATTGCGCACTTGGTGGCAGCTCGGATCGGTTCAAGACTATACGAGTGGTTTTCTCGCATTATGCGAGCAAGTCAGCTACATGCACGAAGCGGAGCGGGTGGACCGTTACGTCGGAGGGTTGAAGTCGGACATCTCGCACGAAATCATGCTACGCGGGCTCTCGAACTTCAACGAGATTCTCGCGCTCGCCGAGAAAATCGACATTTTACGCCGTCCGAGACCAGGGTCCTACTACGGACATCATCCTCGGGGACCGGCTGAGCATGCCACGGTACACGCCGTTGCGACGAACGCAGCTGCCGCGCCGTTTAAGGGGCGCTGCTTTGCTTGCAATAGGCCGGGCCATCGCAAGAGTGAATGCCCAAAGGAGCTAAGGCGCCGCGGAGCAGAGGAGGGGAGGGAGTCTCCAAGGCAGGGAAACGCCAACAGTCAGTAGGAATCGGGCCAACTACTGACGAGACCACCTGCTCGCCCCACCCACCGACCCTCACCGAATCACAGTACTGATTCATGCTATCGATCGGACTCGGACGAATAAGGAGGGTACAGCGACGGATTGCCCAGTACTGATCCACGGGAAAATACAGGGAGCAGCAGTGAAGATTTTTATCAACGGAGGAGCAAGTCACTGTTTAGTTAATACCGCAACCGCACGGGAACTGCAACTGACACTTAGCCGTTGTTTACCGGAGATAGACGCACGCTTAGTTGACGGCACGCCGCTGGCCATACGGGAGAAGGTGGAAAGAGTAAAAGTCCGCTGCGAGGGAAACTTCGGGTTTACTCATGAAAAGCTCGTGACGACACTTGATGGGCACAGTGTTTTACTAGGACGTGATTGGCTGCGACGGTATAACCCGCGAATTGACTGGACGACGGGTAGCTGCACCGTGCGAAGTAGTGGTAACTGGGTCGAGCTACCTCACTGGGAGTCGCTCGAGTCTTCAACGGTACACGTCAACGCAATCACAATGAAACGGGCTGTCGCTGCTGGAGCTGACGTATACGCATTAGACATCGCACTAGTAGAGGAAGCAGAGCAGCCGAGTGATTTCAAGAAACTGCTGGCAGCCGTACCGCTCGAATTACAAACACTGTTGAAACGATACCCCGGGATTTTCCCCGACGACTTACCAGAAGGACTGCCACCTCAGCGAGCACATGACCACCGAATCGAATTAGAATCGGGGGCACAGCCTGAGAAGAAACGAGAATGATTGAACTATGAATGAATTGGGTACAAGTACTAACCCTAATTGGGTTGTACCCCTTATGGGCTACCCCACTATAGCCTACACAATATGCATAAGCTACAATGTTTTGACACACCCCCATAGGCAAAGTGGGGGAGAACAAGGGGTCACAGGACCAGTCAAGCAAAGCAAAGCAAAGCAAAGCAAGCTCAAGGTGGATCACAAAGTCACCACACATTCCGAGCACAAGTTCAAGGCCACAAGGCCAGTTCACATGCAGGATTACATATATATATGTAAGGCTAGACAAGTAAGAGCAGGAGTATATATATTTATATATATATATATGTAACAGTACAAGCAAGGTCAAGAGGTGAGCAAGTGAGGCAAGGTAGGCACAAGGCCCAGCTGAGTACAGAAGCGCTGATGGTCACAAGGCGCAAGCACCTTGGTGAAGATATCAGCAGTGTTGGCCTCAGAGGCCACGTACGCAAGACGCAGGTGACCACGCTGCTGTAGCTCACGAGCAAGAAAGTAGCGAAGAGCAATGTGCTTCGTTCTGTGCTCCAGTCGCTGCTCTCGACACAAGGCCAGCATGGCCTTGTTGTCTACGTACAGCACTGGAGGAGAACGAGGCGGCTCTCAAGGTCAGTCAACAGGTAGGTGAGCCAGCGAAGCTCCGGTGCAGCCATGGCCCCAGCGTAGATCTCAGCCTCACAACTGGAGCCAAGAACAGAAGACGAGCGGGTAGCCCGCCACGAAACAGAGCCGGAACCAAGGCTGAAGGTGTAACCCTGTGACGACCGCTGCGTAGCCTGGTCGTCCGCTCAAGAAGCATCTGCGTGCCCAGTGAGGACCACTGGACTCCGCCCTCCAAGCACAAGCCCCATGCCCGACGTACTGCACAAGTAGCGCAACAACCTCTTCGCTGCAGCCATGTGCTCCGGTCTGTGTCTCCCAGGAGCAACATAGCGTGCGAGAATGCTAAGAGGGTATGCAAGGTCAGGTCGTGTGCAGGTCATCAGGTACATGAGGCAGCCAACAAGCTCTGGGTACGGGCCACTCGGCTCTACGGACTCATCCGAAGGCAGAGCTGAGAGCGAGTGACGAGTAGGCAGAGGAGTGGCCTGAGGCGAGGAGTACGTGAAGCCGAAGCGCTGAAGGACCTGCTGCACCATGTGTGACTGAGTCAGGGTAATGGTGCGCTGTGCTCTGTCCCGGGTGATCTGCAAGCCA